AGGAATAGCAACATCACTTAGACTTATATACTGCTTCATGGTGCTTTACAGCACTCTCTGAATGGTTTACAATGTCAGCATCTTGCACCCAACAATCTGGGTCCTCATTTTACTGACCTTGGAATGAATGGAAGTCTGAATCATCCATGAGGAGGCAGCATTGAACTCCAGGCTCTGGGGAGAGTCAGCCTGCAATACTGCATTATAACCAGTGTGCCACCAGGGCTCATCATTATTGGTAAGGCTATTTACCATTGAGAATTGACTGCTTGAATATGTTAACGAAAGCAGAGAAAAAAGCCAGAGGGATACATTTCAAAATCATAAGGATATTTGGATTTGTTTTCTAAAATAGTCATTAGAGTAGAATATTTGATTATAACAGGATAATGCACACGAAGTGCTTTGTACATCTGAAAGCACTTTACAAATGATGGAGGTGGAGGAGGAGGTGGTAGTATTATGACTACTTTCTGCTTAATATTTATAAAATAAACCGTTATTAACAATAGCAATACCTTTACGGAATATCCAAAATCTGTTTTGCAAGCTTTTAAGTAACAGTTCTTCCCAACGCAGGATGCTAAACAAGCACATATTTTAAAAGGATATAATGGAAGAAACTTTGGCAGACTTTTTGATTTGTCTTTTGCATTACGCAGAATTGCAAAGTGGCACATTGGGATAGAGAAGCAATAGCAATAGCAGTTAGACTTATATATCGCTTCATAGGGCTTTCAGCCCTCTCTAAGCGGTTTACAGAGTCAGCATATTGCTCCCAATAATCTGGGTCCTCATTTTACCCACCTCGGAAGGATGGAAGGCTGAATCAACCCTGAGCTGGTGAGATTTGAACCGCTGAACTGCAAATAGCAGTCAGCTGAAGTGGCCTGCAGTACTGCACTCTACCCACTGCGCCACCTCGGCTCTACAGCAGTTGAGACACTTGGTGGCTCTTTAGTAATTACTGGGAAATGATATTGGAGAAGAATTCACTAAAACCTGTTAATAATCATATGTAATGCTATAACAATTTAAACTCCCATTAGCAGCAGTAAATATATATATATATATTAATCATTTGACTAAAATGTAATAATAATCAAAAATCAATGCACTGGATAGAAAAGGGCATGCAATAGCATGGGAAAATATCTCTGTTGCCTAAAAGTACAAGTATTAGAGCAGGGGTCCCCGAACTTGGCAACTTTAAGACTTGTGGACTTCAACTCCCAGAATTCTCCAGTCAGCTTAAAGTTGCCAAGTTTGAAGACTTCTGTATTAGAGGATAATAAAGGCTAATAAGCACCCTACTCTGAAAGAGAGGAGATTAGAGTGGTTGGCTAGTGATAAGTATAAACATTATCCACCCATATTCCATTTGCTTACTTGCCCTAAGTAGGACTTCCATTGATGAACTTGGACCCAGTTCTCTATCAATTCCTTTAAAGGAATACTCACGGTTCACCGACAAATGCGCACTCAACAAAAGTGTTAAGGCATTCCATTGGGGGGGGGTTACCATCTCTAATGTTTGTGGGAGAGGCAGATATGGTGGGGGCCGAGGGCCAAATTATGTTCGAGGGATGTGGGTTTGCTGTGTAAGAGCGATTGCATGTTCTGACCCTCATCGCCCTTCTCACACCCCTGGGTATTCAGGATTACAGAACCCTGGTCTCCGGCTGGTGTTGCTTAACGCCAGGTCTGTGGTACATAAGGCTCCCCTCATTTATGACCTCATACAAGAGGATAGAGCCGACCTGGTGTGCATTATGGACACATGGTTGGGTCATGAGGGGGGTGTTCCCTTTAGTGATTTATGTCCACCAGGCTTCCGGGCGTTTCACCAGCTGAGAACCCGGGGCAGGGGTGAGGGGGTAGTGGTGATTATTAGGGAAAGTCTCGGACCTCAGGAAGTCACTGTGCCTCAGATAGGTGGGTGTGAGACCCTGGGCCTTTTTGTTATGTACCTGTCTCCCTGCTATGTTTCAGCGGCCCTGCCAGAGCTGCTAAATGTGTTAGCCAGATTGGTGGTTGATTTCCCCAGGCTTATGATCCTGGGAGATTTCAATCTGCCTTCCATTGGCGAGACATCTGAGTCAGCTNGGGCTTGAAGGAGCCTTTGTATCGCTTCCTTTGTCCCCCATGCTATCACTTTCCTTGAAACAGCTCACCATAGAGGAGCTGTTTGGGGCTGCTATGGTTTGGCCTCCTTAGAGCTGTTTGGGGCTGCTATGGTTTGGCCTCCTTGCAACATGGCCTGCCCAGTGTGTCTGGGCTTTCACCAGCAGGGTGTGAACTGATCTGGAGAGGACTTCTGTGTCTGGCACCTTGTCCTACCACTGGATCCTCAGAATTCTCTGGAGGCAGGTCATGTGGAAGTGGTTTAATTACCTGGAGTACCTCCCGTATACAGTCCAAGTCTTACTGGCATACATCAGGGTAGTTAACACTACTGCTCGGTAGGCTTTGAGCTTTGTAGCACTATCTATCTATCTATCCATCTATCCACCCATCCATCCACCCATCTCAGGAAAAAATGATATTGAGCAGCAAAGTAAAAAAAAGCATTTGGCCTGCTTCATTCTGTTGGTAGGGTGGATCTGCTAGAAGTGGTTTCTTAAGAAAATATTAATTTCATTATTTTTAAAATGTGATTATGTACTCCAAATTAAAAACATGAACCAAAGAAATGAACAAATGTTTTAAAACAAAATTCAATATCAACTCCTTTCCTGATTGGTCATTGATCATTGCAAGAGACAGACTATTTGTAGCTAGTTTTCCCCATGCTCTGAACAGTAGCATTTTCACTTTGTACATCTTATGGCTGACATTATACTTCAAGAGTACCTTATATTTACATGGATCTCAACTTCTATAACTAATTTATTTTTTTAGACTTATATATCCCTTTTCATTCAAGAATTCACAGCAGCATATATTTTGATCATCTTCTCATTTTACCACAATTCCATTTTTGGAGGACACTAGTTGTTTTTAGACCAGGCAGCACATCCCCATTGAAGACTGGTACACAAGTTGTAGTTCCTTATAGAATTGCAGCTTACAGCAGGTGGCCAGAAGGGCCTTTGCACAAGTTCAGATTGGGTGCCAGTTACACCCATTTCTCAGTCAGGAGTGCCTTCAATCATTTACTCATGATATGCTCACCCCATGACTGAATTATTATTATATGAGCTGTCCAGGTGGTTCAAAATGCTTTAGCACAAAAAATAACAGGCACTTCTTAATATATCCATGAGTCATTGCCACTACAAGCTACATGGATTGTCAGTCAGTTCTGAGTGAAATTCAACGGGCTTGTTTTAACATATACAGTCCTACATGGAGTAGACCCTGGATGTGAGAGACCATTTGTTTCTGTCCATCAAAATGTGTGGGTTCCAGGTATGTGTGGCTCTATTATCATATTGAGCAAGCCTTCTCTGCTATGTCCCCTGTCCTTTGGAAGAACATCTCCCTTGATATAAGGACCATACATTTTCTCTTATTAGTTCTGAAAGCTCTTAAAACCTGACTTTAGATTTCATATTGTCTTGGAGGACCTGTTGTGGTTTTTTGTTGCTGTTTTGATTGTCTTCATCTAGGCTATATGGCTCATCCTGGTACATCTACTCAGAAAATTTTGATGAACAGATGGGCTCAGTAGTAGAAGCATTAAAAACTGGGTAGACATCTTTTGAAGATATCCTTTCATTTCAGTTTGAAAAAACTACCATCATTATTTTTAATAGGTTATCTTATTTAATAATCTACATACTGAAGTTATTAAGGGTTAACAATTATGTTATGGTTCTCAATCAATGAATTGCACACATGAAGCAGAACAACTTGGATTTATTTAAAATTCATCTCGAAATGCAATGTTTAGTTTAAAAAACATTTAAAACACCAAAATATTTCTAATTTAAAAAGAAACCTTGTTAGAAATAAAGAAAATTTACAAACTATTAAGTTGGAATGGGATTGGAAAATTAGATATAATATTAAGGCCAGCATTTCTTTCTTTATTCAGTATTTATGAAGTTTGAGAAATACAACATTCTCTTTTTTACAACTACAAAAGAATGAATTAGTAAATTTTTCCACCATGATTAATTATTTGTTTAAAGTTGTACTTTAAAGAGAATTAGTGTTTCTCTTTTTGGCTGTTGAAGCAGCTACTATTTGGAATAAGAATAGTGATTCAATAAATCAAAGTATTCAAAATGAATTCTGTACCTGAAGAACTTTTTTAAAAAATGGGATAAATCTTGTGTTTTCCTTTAAAAAAAGAACAAGATGTTAAAAATACCACTTACATAGGAATTTAAATATAAGGCCAAGCAAGAAACTTGGCATAACAAGGATCATTAAAAAGATTCATGTGGTGCCAAGACATAATAATTCCATTTGTATTGCGGTCTGATTTCAAAACAAAACAAAACAAAAATCACAGTATCTTCTAGTACTATAAACAGTGAATGTCACACCGCCTCATGAATTTTCATACTAAAAACCAATTCAAAGACTTGGTAGCAGTAGAAAATTAAAAGCACGTTGTTTGAACCTGATATGTGAACTAGCACAATGTGGGGCTAGGTACGTACCTGATGTCATAGTTTCTGTTTTTGTAAATGAAGTAAATATTACACTTTGCAGTTAAAGAGTGAGATCAGTCACTCCTGCATACCTTCAATAATATTGAGATTTATGTGATATTCTGGGCAAAGATCCCTCCCTGCAGAATCTTTGCTCGGCAAAAAAAAGAACACTGTTCTCAGTGAAAATTCAAAAGGACCTCCTCTAATTAATGCATTATTGAATAAGACATTAGAGTAGATCCAGAAACATGCCTATTATTACTCACTCACAGCCATTTCTGATAGGAAGGCAACCTGTAGAGCAGTGGTTCTCAACCTTCCCAATGCCGCAACCCTTTAATACAGTTCCTCATGTTGTGGTGGCCCCCAACCATAAAATTGGTGTCTGGGTTCCTAAGACCATCTGTGAAAGGGTCATTCGACCCCCAAAGAGTTCCCTACCCACAGGTTGAGAACCACTGCTGTAGAGTTTGAAATATTCTTTGCATGTATTAAATATAAAACATAGGCATTTAACAAATCATCTTTTGACAGTTCAAGTAGATTAAAATTGTGAAACTATTTTTTCTAATTGATCTTTGAGCTATTAAAATGCACCTCAGACCTTAATTTCAATATCATACACATAGCTTACTTCCTAGAATGTTATATAGTAGTGTCAGGGGGAGAAAGGAGGATGTTAAAAGTACATTAGGTGGAGAAAGCTGAACCACCATTTTAACAAGGAAAAAGTGCATACAACATTGTAATACTATCAAATAGTTAATTCCAGATCAAAATGTTTTTCTCAGACCCAAGATACACTATTTTACATCATGAAAATCACTAAGATTTGCCATAGGCTACTGTTTTATTCCATGTTGTCATCAGCTTGATATTGAAATATTTGAAGAAAAATAATTCATTGAAGTATTCTTCTCTCTCAGTTAATGGTGGCTCTCTTTAAGAATATTTAAACAGGACGTCAAAAAATTTATTTTCATTTCACACTTTTTGTTGGTGTTTCAGACTCTGTTGATTGCCTTCCATCTGTCCAAGCTTCTCTTGTACTCTTCAATGCTAATGTTTTTTGTTGGTCAACAACAACATAATCGACTCTCTCATCAGCCACACTACCGCCAGAAACACTACTCTTTTTCTGGAAAAGAAACAAAACAAGACATTAAAAGAGAATAACAGAAAGAGGTTGGTATAGTGGATAAGGCAGTGGGCAAGAAATGGAAACTTTTAGACTTGCCTTTGGCACAAAGCCCCCTGGGCAAGTCACTCTATTTCAGCCCTAGGAAAGAGGGAGTGACAAAATACTTCTGAAAATGCTGCTAAGGAAACTGCAGAAACTTGTCCAGATAGTTTTCAGGAGTCAGCAATGAGTTTAAGGCACATACAGAGAGAGACTTATAGTAAGGCAATGTAACATAAAAGTACTTTCCACAAATGAAAGGCTTTCTTTTCAGAAGAGAATGTGATTCAGCAGACATATCTAATGGAAAAAATGGGATACTTTTTTTTTGCAAATAATTACTCTTATTTATTTATTCCTCACTTCCATTCTTTCAAACTAGAGGCTTGGGCTATAAACTCTTGATCCAAGTTTATGAAGAAGAAGAAAGCAACTACTGGTAAATAGGTATATACCGTACATTCATTAGTGTTTGAATAAAAGTCATTTTTTACTCAGCTTTGGAAAGTTGGCTATAAGAAAAGTTCTAAACTTATCAGTATAGTGACAAATAACAAATAATTGTATTTTCTTGATTTTGGTAATCCAAAAAAATGGACCTCAACTGTAATTGACAAATAAAATGATTCATTGTCAGCAGCTAAATTATCTGTGGATAGCTATGTAGTTGCGTTTACCTTGCGAGGTGGAGTAGATTTTCCAGAATCTAAATCCAGGTCTAAATATTCCACCTGCTTGTCACCTTTAGGTTTTACCATAGGGCTGCTTCCCCCATCAAGGCTGCTGCTGCCGAACAAACCCTGAAATTGTAATTGTAATTATTGTTATTATTTGTGAAAAACTTTAATAATGCATCCCTCAACACTGTGAAGTACTTTTGTCTCATTTTGTAATATGTATTTAAATATCCAATAATATTTTACAACTAAGATTGCCTTTAATTAAAATTATTTAGGGACACAGCATATGAAAAAACTAAAAACAAACTCAGATTTAATGTTAGAGATGTGCAAAAGGTTTCAAAGCCAACATGAGTCGTATTAAGTTAACTAGAAATTGCTTAACACTGTTTTGTTCTTGGTGCTTTCTGAGCTTGCTTGTTTTTTTGCAGATGTTTCATTACCAAAACTAGGTAACATCATCAGTACTAGCAGAAGTGCAGTGTGATGCACCTCCACTGCACTCCTTAGTCATGTCAACCCTGAGCTACAAATATTCTCCTTTTTGGTATTATTTTGTTTGTTTGTTCCAGAAATATTTGGAACATGACCCAGTTCAGAACACTTCTGAAATGGCTGAACAGTGTTAAACATGCTTATTGGGGGTCAGAAGAGATGTTATGAAACTGAAATTTTGGAAAGCCACATTAATATTTATATTCATAATAATTTACTTCACAATATGTACTGACTACCTCCTTCCTTCCCCATATATGGGTATATGTTGGTCAAAGACTATATGAAAGTTTGCCTACCTTCTCTTACTATTATTTCACAATAAATAAATAAAATATTTCTTAAAGTTGTATAAAATGTACAGGGACATAATGTAATTCATTCACTATCAGAAGACATGATGATGGCTGAATAGTTTTGAAAGGTTTTTGTATAAATTGAAGACTTCTAGTCTGTAAGTCTATATAATGACTAAAGAATATCTTTTGTTAGAACAAAAGTTGTGTAGTCCCTGTGTATTTTCACCAGCCACTTTAGAAACTTGTGGCTCAAAAGAGCATTATTTCTGAGCAGAGTTTAGGAGGGTTGAAATTCAGCAGTATCTGGAGAACCACAGGTTCTCTACTTTGTGATAGGATCGAGGCTGGTCATTTGGCCATTTATTTCTAATAAATGTGATGTAGGGTTTCCTGCCTAAGCATGGGTTGGACTAGAAGACCTTTAGGGTTGCTTCCAACTCTTTTATTCTGTTCTGTTCTAATCAAAAGAATAATTCTTATCTTCAAACTAAGAAAAGGCTGAAAATGAGAAAGAGGCAATTAGATTCCATTACTTCCAAGGTTTTACTCAATTTATGGTCCCCAGAACTTAATTGTCAGACATTATTAATAACATTTCAAGATATGAAATACATGAAATAAACCATTTTAAAAACAAACATGACTAATTTGCTTCATCCGATTACCCAGTTTGTCTGGCTCTATCTGTAATTTGTTAAGTGTAGCTACAAAATAATGCTTATATTATTTCCAACATTATTTCACTTTCATAAATCTCAAAGTATTTAATTGATTTAATACCTCCCCTCCCACAGAAAAACAGAAAGTGTGATATGATTTTGAAGAAAGGGCATATTTATGATGTAAAACAACTTACTGGATCATCAGTGGACTGATTTGGATTCATGGGTACATAATTCTCGTCACTGTCGTGCGAATCACTGCTAGAAGTTGTACTATGAATTGAATCTGGCCGGGGAGATAATGGGAACCTGGAAGAACTAAATGAAGAAAAGTGCTTTAAAATGTGTGGTGTACTTATTTTATGCTGTTCATAAATATATTTCTGTATTATATTTAAGTATTTCTATTCCATCTTTCCCTTTAAAAGCAAGAACCATAAAATAAAGAAGTTGAATGATAATTCAAGAAATAACAAATGCAAAAGAATCTAGTAGTAAAATATCAGGAACTGCTCCTGAAGAGATTTTTAAAAAAACTTGTGGTCCATAGGAGAAGTATGTAGGAAGAGTTTCTGGTGGTGGTATCTGCAGTGGGAATGGATTCAGAAAAATTAAGGTGGTGGTCATGACTGCCAACTTGATTTTTTCATAATCCTGTACTAGTCTCTCTGTTGCATGGTAAAATGGCAGGAACATATGTAAAGCAATTTATATGGGCAGAACACATAGTAGTTGTGATCACTGTCACAAGTGGGTTGCTACTGGTTTACACTGGTTTGGGCAAACCGGTAGTGGAATGTTGGCCTGGGTTGCAGAACCGGCAGTGCCCTGGGCTGGCCATGCTTCCAGTTCCCCGGTCGCCATGATTTTTTGGCAATTTTTAAAGTTCTGCGCATGCGCAGACCTATTTACAGGTGACTGCACACGTGCACTTTTTGCACACACACCAAACTGGCAGTAATGCTGGCAGCAACCCACCCCTGGTCACCATTGAATAAAAAAGAATATACACCATTGAATAAAAAAGAATACAAAAGAATTCAAAGACTTACTCTCGTGTAAAACTTCTGGTAATTGGAGATCTAACTGGAGCTGGCAATTCATCCCATTCTGATAAAGGTTTAATTTCTAGTGGTGCTGGTTTAACTATATACACAAGAAACAAATTTGAAAATAATGTACTTTAAGAGAAATCTTACATTACTATACACATATGTTATTACAGTTCATTTTCCATATGAAACTTCATCATGAAATGTTATGGGAAAATATATTTAATATACTCTTAATATACTATATTGTTTCTTAATTATCTCTGTTCTAATTTAGTTTGTATTAGTTCTCATTACTGTTTTTAAAACACACACAGAAACAAAAAATTGCTTTGTGCAAATTACTAGAGTCTAAAAGATTAGACAAGACTAAGTGACTTTCCACCAAACCAGTTCTTCAGACTTTCTCTGTTTTTAATAGATAAATTCCAATTTTTCACTTTTCAAGGAGTTGTATCTTGCTAGAATAAACAACCATAACTATTATTTCCCTTCCTAAATACCTTGGTTAATTTTGTAAGGTCCTTTTATAAAGAAAGGGAAGTTAATCAACACAATAGCGTATGATTTAGCAGAAGATCACAGAATTCAGATCTTTTTTAAAGTAGTTAATGTTAGTTTATTAAGCTCATGAGAATGCAATCATTATTAGCTAAACCATGGCATAAGATCATAATCATTTTAAGGAGGTCTAACTCAGTATGTTACTAGATTTACACATTAACTGCCTAACTTTTTTTCTTTGCTATTTTCTAAATACAACCTTAGAGCAACTAGCTATGACTTAATATTACCCTGCATTAAAAACAAATGGATCCTGGGAAATGTTGACATCCATCACTTTGAGATTGGTGATAGCACATATGCAGGCAAAGATTTTTTGATATACTTTATGCATTTGTTTTTTGAATGTTTGCATATTATTGACCTTTAGTAGCCTTGAGTGATCAAATGATTGCAGAAAGGAAGGATGTTTTGTATTAAAACAATTAATGCTATTTCATAATTAAATTGGTACAATACCGTTTTTCAGGCTTAATACAAAATGTGAAATACAAAACATTGTTTAATATTTCTAAAGCTTCCTATCATTTGAATGCAGGCTACTTGAGTCAAATCTGTTTCTATATGATCTCCTTGTTCTTTGAGATAATCTGAGAAGGCCCGCCTACACTTTTTTAAGTGCAGTCTGTGTTAAATATTCTAATACCTAAAACCAAGCAAAATATATTTCAAATAATGCCTGATAAGTTAAAAGACCCTAAAAGCACATTAAAAAAATATATAGTTGCTTTTAATAGTTTTACTATCTCAGGTTTTAGTTCCAATTTTGTACTCTATTGTAAATAATAGATGGTGTTAAGTTACTGGTATAAATTAGTAAATAGTATAATATGTTTCATTATTGTAACATATTAATGTACTGTATTTTTCGGAGTATAAGATGTACCAGAGTATAAGATACACCAAGATTTTGAAGAGGCAAATTTTTAAAAAAAGTTTTTGCACTCTGCAGACCTCTCAAAAATGGCCCATTTTTCACGAAAACGGGCCCGTTTTTTTTTAAAGGGCATGAATAGCCTTTAGGAGGCTTGTAGAGTGCTCCTGGGGGNTTCATGTTGAAAGCGCAGTGGATTTGCTTAAGAAATCCTAACCGGGGCAAGACAAAAGACACTCTGTATAACTAACCTCTCTCTCTCTGTCTCAGTACTTTCATTGAAGATATTAAAACATGAAAGCAAGAAAACGGAACCCCCCCCCCTCTTTTACTTCCTTTTATAGGAAAAGATGACCCAGTACAATAGAGCTCCAGGAAATACTTCGGCTAGAGAAGTAGCGACTGTTTCTTCCTGGATTTTCCAGAGGGGAGGGGCATGGAGGTTGGAAGTCGTCTCGTGTGGGAAAAATGGTGGCGCGTGAGAAGCTCCGCGTGGTTCACTGTGGGGGAGCTGGCTGAGGAGGAGCCGCGCTGTGTTTTCTGCAGATTCGAAGTTAGTAAAATTGGACAGTTGAAAGCGCTTTTCTTTTCTCTTCAACTGCGAGCTTTCATTACGTGGGAAAGCTGCAATTGCAAGGAGGACGGCGTTGATTTTATTGACATGTACTTTGCACGTGTGCAATGCACTTGTAGATAAAATGCTTGCACTGATGCATTGGTAGACATGGAGCTCAATCAATCTCATTGTACATATATTGTGCACTGACAAATAAGTTAAAGTTATATAAGCGCGGTTATTCACCTAATTGTAGTGGTAATGTTTTTTTCTGGGTTAGGCTGTTAAGCCCCGGGGCTGGGATCCAAGGTGCGCTTAACTAGGCGAGGAACTTGTGCGGACCCGCCGGTGCGTGGGAACTGAGGAAAAGAATGGAGGGGAGAGGGGGCATGCGGAGAAGAAGAAGCGTGCCGAGCTGTCATCGGGGTTGCTGAAGCTTGCGAGGGAGATCTTGAAGCGGAGGATCCCAGGGCTGCAGATGTGGGGCTTTGATCTGGTGATTCTGGGATCAGCGGCCATGAGGGATTGGCGAGGATGACTGGCGCTTTTTTCCTCAGCCCCGAACTGGGTTTGATTCCCAGCATGCCTCTTGATCGGCTGAAGAGAATGTGATCCAAAAAGAAAAGGAAAGTGTCTGAATCCATTAATTGGCCATTTTAATGATGGACATACCGCCGGAGCAGCCAAAAGCTTCTTTCTTGACAACGCTTGACAGCGTTGTTGGGGCCCGGGGATCAATTATCCCAGAAAAATGGCCAATTAATGGATTAAGATCTCTTGAATTAGATAGGATCCCTAATTGAGGGCAGCTGACACGAAGAACAGGCGAACTTCAATTTAAACCCACCAGGTTTCCCTCAAGCGGGAATTCTTGTCTTTGCCTGTCCTAATTCAGACACTTTCCTTTTCTTTTTGGATTACATTCTCTTCAGCCGATCAAGAAGCATGCTGGGAATCAAACCCAGTTCAGGGCTGAGGAAAAAAGTGCCGGTCATCCTCGCCAATCCCTCGTGGCTGCTGATCCCAGAATCACAAGATCAAAGCCCTGCATCCGCAGCCCTGGGATCCTCCGCTTCAAGATCTCCCTCGCAAGCTTCAGCAGCCCGATGACAGCTCGGCACGCTTCTTCTTCTCCGCATGCCCCCCTCCCCTCCATTCGTTTCCTCAGTTCCCATGCACCGGTGGGTCCGCACAAGTTTCTCGCCTAGTTAAGCGCACCTTGATCCCAGCCCTGGGGCACCATTCTGCAGTTGGTGAAGCTCCTGCTCTCCCCGCAAAAGGCAGCCTCGTTGCCGTCTCTCTCTATTCCCTTTGCCCGCTGTTGGTTAAGAACAAAGCCCACGTGGGGAATCTGCTTATTTGTCTGTCTGGGATTCTTTGGGGGGGGGGTGTGTGTATGGCAGACATACCGCCAGAGTGGCCAAAAGCCTCTTTCTTGAAAGCGCTGTTAAGAAAGAGGCTTTTGGACCAAATTTTTAATCAAGAAA